ATATGCATCATGGAAGTCATGCTACTGATCGTGTGGTATTTGGTGGTACGGATATTGCAGAAACGGCGATGGTAATACCTTGAACTATGACAATGCTGTTGGTGATGTGTCAGTGCGAGTGGTGAGTTCGATGATGATGCTTCGGCTTTCTTCATGATGGTGATGTTGACGGCGATGATGGTGATGAACCATGCTGATAGTTATTATCAACATGTTCAGCTCTGATAGCTTTGGCCTGAACGATGACGGCGACAGTGCTGATAGTGCTGTTCACACTAACGGTGGTGTTTGTGATGATGCGGCGTTTGCTGGGCATGATTCTGATGGTGATGATGGTAATGATGTGAATGGTGGCAATGGCATTAGCGATTCTCATCTGGATGATGTGGATGACGATGATTGTTGGTTATTCGGGTGATGATGCTGTTGGTGATGATACCGACGCTTGTGAGGGATGACGATCATGATGGGGATGTTGACGGAGTTGCTTTGGCGATGATGGTGTCCATGGCTGTTACAGTGCCTGTTGCGATGATGTATTTGGTGTTGATTGTTTGAAGATGACGATTGCGCGTGTTTTAAGTCGTTGATGCTGGTTGTGGTTGTGGTGTCGGTTCGATGACGATACGACGGCGACCACGACGACGATAATGATGATGATGATGATGATGATGATGATGATGATGATGATGATGATGATGATGATGATGATGATGATGATGATGATGATGATGATGCTGATGATGATGATGCTGATGATGATGATGATGATGATGAGGGTGATTGATGATGATGATGATGATGCTGATGATGGTGATGATGGTGATGATGGTGATGATGATGCTGCTGCTGATGATGATGATGATGATGCCGACGACAAGATTTGCCATTCATACGGTCAAGTTGTTGATGATGATGATGATGATGATGATGATGATGATGATGATGATGATGATGCTGACGCTGACGGGCATATTGAGGTTGGTGGCATGCTGATGCGGATGTTAGGACGGTTCAGGGTTAGGGACCCACGGTTTGGGGCTGTAAGTTCGAACGCTCAAAGACAGGGGTTGGTAGCACTGACTGCGGCGCGGCGGTGATGTGGTGGTGGTGATGCTGCTGGTTACGCAAATATTGCCCACGCCGATGCCGACGGCCAGTTGATTCGCCCGGCCTGGGCCGCCCCCTCAACCCTCGGGCTCGCAGATTGATTGGCGAGTTAATTCGCCGCGCTATGGGCGGTCCGATCCTTCCCAGCACGTGGAGTGGCTCGCGAACTAATTCGCTTTACCTTGGACGGCCCTGCCTGTGGATGCATGCGCGAGGCATCTCATGCAGGAGCCAGAGCCAGTTCCAGCTCGCGAAGGATTGGCCCTCGAGCCAATCCACGCAAGCTGAAACTCGCACCGCCATCTGACGGATTACCATGGCCAGGGTGGGTTCCAGCAACTGCGCCGCGATGAGCTAACTCGCGAGTTGATACTTTCTATCCTCGTGGATTCAGCCGCCTCCTTCCCCTCCCTCCCTCCATACGTCCATCAACCCCCCTCTTTCCTCCTCCCTCCCCTCTCCCCGCCCCCACCTGCCGTTCTTCTTTCCCTTCCTCTCTTCGTCTCTGCTCCACACTCTTTCCCTTTCAGCGGGTGCAGGTTTCGTCTCCAGGCTCTTGTGAGCAGGGGGCGGTTTCCGATATTCCCTCTAGATTTTCAGCCCCCCTCTTGTGGATTTCGATTGTGGTGTCGCCTCCCATGGACGGCGATGCCCGTTAGGGGTGCTTTTGAGAGTCAAACGCCGAGATAATGTTCATGACGTGATAGAGCTCGGGTCCTAGCGCGCACAAGCTTGGCGACAGCCTGAAATCACGGGCAGATGATTAACATCTGCAGCAGTTTTTTCCCTTGCAGTCCCCCCTCCTCCCGCCTCCTTTCTCCCGCCCTGCACCTGTCCTCCTCTCGAGGGAAGAGACGCGATGATCATGATCAAGATGTCGTGTGATCTTGTCGACGCCAGTCTCGTTCATAGCCCATGCTGGCCGTCGCCGATTCGGGAGCATGCTCCTCGCTTTGACGATGACTAGGTGGACGATGACCAAGGTCGACACCGACCCTTCCGCGTTCAGTCTTGGTCACGGCCCTCGCTGCATTTCTCTCCATGCTCGGCGCCTGCCTCCCCGCGTCTCCCCCGCCTCTCTCCCTGCTGCTGCTGCTGCTCCGCCGACGCCTCCTCGCCGGTCACTTGTTGCCCAGGGCGGGACACACCCGCGCAGCCCTGCCGCAGGAGAGGGAGCAGCAGGAAGCTGGCCTGTACACCGGCGCCGACTGCGCACGAGCACACCAGGCGGCAGTGCTTTGGGCTGCGCACGGACGGCCCACGGAGGCGGAGGCGGCTGGGGGCCCCGCCAGATCGGGCAGTCTGGGGCTGTCCCAACAGGCCTCCCAGGGCGCCAGGCTTTCTGGTGTTGGGGGTGTTCTGTACAGGCGGCCCGGATCAGTAGGTCGACCCTGCCAGATCAAGGGTAGTCTTGTGTCCTGTGTCTCGCGACCCGTGCCTCCCACATTCCTGTGGCAACGTGGCCCTCGGAAGGGTCCTGTGCCCTCTCGCGTGACCTGTCCAATGAAGTCCGACTGTACGTGGTGTCAGAGACCAACGTCCAGTCCGACACAACAGGAAGCAGCTGTACCCAGGGGGCCCGTGGAGGCCAGCAGGGGCCGCCTCCGGGGGCTGCCTGCGCGCAGCCCCGCTGCCTGCCACCACCGATCCTTGGGCCCAGGATTAAGTCGGGCGTGTCCCTCTACGGGGGGAATATTCAAACATATTTAGACAAATAGTCAGGGGACGTGTTTTTTGTCGTTGTTGTTTTTTCCAACCATCCTGTGGTGTTGGGTCCTCGTTTTGAAGAGACGGTGCCCCGCGTCTCCTCTCCTTCCTCCTCTGCCCCCTCCTCCCTCCTCCCCCTCCGCGTCAGCCACACCCACTTCGGCACACCCCTCACACGTTTCGTGGCCCCATAAGGAGCCCCACCGAGGGCTCCAGTGGCTGCGTTCGCATGGCGGCACCGCACCCATTTCGGCACACCCCTCACACGTTTCGTGGCCCCATAGGGAGCTCCACCGAAGGCCCCAGTGGCTGCGTTCGCATGGCGGTACCGCACCCATTTCGGCACACCCCTCACACGTTTCGTGGCCCCATAGGGAGCTCCACCGAAGGCCCCAGTGGCTGCGTTCGCATGGCGGCACCGCACCCATTTCGGCACACCCCTCACACGTTTCGTGGCCCAGGGAGTTCCACCGAGGGCCCCAGTGGCTGCGTTCGCATGGCGGCACCGCACCCATTTCGGCACACCCCTCACACGTTTCGTGGCCCCATAAGAAGCTCTACCGAAGGCCCCAGTGGCTGCGTTCGCATGGCGGCACCGCACCCATTTCGGCACACCCCTCACACGTTTCGTGGCCCCTTAGGGAGCTCCACCGAGGGCCCCCGTGGCTGCGTTCGCATGGCGGCACCGCACCCATTTCGGCACACCCCTCACGTTTCGTGGCCCCATAGGGAGCCCCACCGAGGGCTCCAGTGGCTGCTTTCGCATGGCGGCACCGCGCCCATTTCGGCACACCCTCACACGGTTCGTGGCCCCATAGGGAGCTCCACCGAGGGCCCAGTGGCTGCGTTCGCATGGCGGCACCGCACATTTCGGCACACCCCTCACACGTTTCGTGGCCCCATAGGGAGCTCCACCGAGGGCTCCAGTGGCTGCGTTCGCATGGCGGCACCGCGCCAATTTCGGGACACCCCTCACACGTTTCTTGGCCCCATAGGGAGCTCCACCGAGGGCCCCAGTGGCTGCGTCCGCATGGCGGCACCGCACCCATTTCGGCACACCCCTCACACGTTTCTTGGCCCCATAGGGAGCTCCACCGAAGGCCCCAGTGGCTGCGTTCGCATGGCGGCACCACACCAATTTCGGCACACCCCTCACACGTTTCGTGGCCCCATAGGGAGCTCCACCGAGGGCCCCAGTGGCTGCGTTCGCATGGCGGCACCGCACCCATTTCGGCACACCTCTCACACGTTTCGTGGCCCCTTACGGAGTTCCCTCTCATTCGTTCAACCTGCTTTGCGGTACTCGTATCTGCATATGGTTGGGTCCATCACCAGGATAATTGTTTAGAGTTTTACTATGTTGTAGCATTTTTGGTGTACTTTTTAGTTTTTTTTGTTGTTGCTCAAAATCCCCCTGTAGGGGGACAGGCCCGACCTAAGCCCAGGATGTTGCCCCAGGCCCAGGAGGATCGGCGAGCCGGTGTACAGCTGGCGTCCTCCCAGCAGGATTCGGCGACGCGGCAAGAGTGCCCTTCCGCTGGGGTGACTTCTGGTGCGGGCCCACCGGGGCCCCCTCCCTACACCGGCGGGCGCGCTTGGATTTGGCCGCCCAGTGGCCCCTTGTCGGGGAAACGCAAGACTCGAGTTCGCCGGAGCTCGGGGTCGGCCGACGCTCTTTGACAGGCCCGTCTTTGAATTCTGACGGTGCAATTTTCGTGGGATGTTTGCGCCGGGAGCTCGCGTCAGATTTCAGACTGTGTCTCGTCGTTTTTTCCTCGCGGCCCCGTCGGGCGAGCCCGAGTCCCCGATCCCCAGTCTTACGGCTCTTCGGCCCTGCAGCCGCGCACCGGAGGCCACTCTTGTCCAGGGCCACTCCTGCGCGTGGCCGACAGAGGTTAGTCCTGAGGATGCTCCAGGAGGCCTCGCTCAGCGCTCTTCACACGTATCTTCTAGTGCACACGCACACTCCGTGAGATATGGGTCGACGCTCGCGCGGCGATGCTCCAGCGTCAGTCGAATCGGACGTGAGTCCGACGCACACCCGACGGGCACCCGACTTAAACCCAATGTGGATCCGACGCAAATCGGCCCTCGAGTTGCCGCGCGAGGCCTCCAGGATTTTCCTCGCAAGCTTAGAGGAGCCCCGCCCCTGCCGCGTCATGTCGCGCTGCCTGCCCCCCGCCATGGCGGCCGCCGCCATCGTGGCCGCCTTCGCTGCTGGGGCGTTCGTGGCACTGCCGGCCCCTCGGAGAGCACCAACTGCACGCTTGCGTCTTCCCCTCGCACAGGGCGCCTTCGCCCGGCTTCGAGGTGCCGAGCTGCTTTCCTCTCGGCCTCCTTCCCCAGACGTGTTCGCGCCGTGAGAAAATACGCTGGGAGGCTTCTGGCCGTTTTCGGCTTCTGGAGGCCCTCGCCAGGCTCGGGGACGTCGAAAGCGACTCGGAATGAAAACCGGTCCTGGGGAGAGGGTTGGGGCTTCTGGGGGTCCTGTATGTGAAGAATCAAGCCTTCTCTGCCTTCTGCTCGGCCTCCCCTGAGATCTGGTCGCTTCAATTTTTCCAGAGACGGCGATTTTGCCCTGCTTCGGGCCCCGGGACAATCACAGGTCGATCTGGCTCGAAAAATACAGCAGAGCGATGGGGTCCTTTTAGTGTGTCTTGCTGGAAGCTCAGTTTAATATACATGATGCACTTCTGTGCAATATTATAAAGGATCCAGAGGCCGCTGAAGGCCACAAAAGGTTGCTAAAGGCCACTGCAGGCTGCTAAAAGGCGACTAAAGGCTACCAGAGTCCGCTGATAATCCACTCAAGACCGCTAAAGGCCACTAAAGGCTAATGAACCGAGGCGGTATCTGTCAGAACGGGCTTTCAAAAAGACTCAGCTGAGGCCCAGGGCTCCTGTCACGATTTTTGGCGATGCTGCGTTTTTTTCGCAGCGTCCGATCGCAGGGGTCCCTCGGCCCAGGGTCGGTGCATCAGATGCCCCTCCGCCCCGGCCAGGAGGGCATATGCGCACCGTCCCTGGGCCCAGGATTAGCCCGGCCAGCATCGGCGTGTCCAACATCGCGAGAGATCACGACTGCTTGGCATCGCTCGGACGTGTGCAGTCTTTCTCGGCGGGGACAGTCGAGGAGCATCCAGGATCACCAGACAGAAGCAAACACGACGAAACCGACAAGTGCACGGGGGATGCACGTCCGAGCGATGGCAAGACGGGCCCCAGGGCCACTCTTTCTGCGGCATGTTTCGAGCCGGATCGATCCTTGAATGGTCCTGGGGCCCGATATTGAGCGAAAATGACCGTCTTGGAAATAAGGACGCATCCCCAGAAATCCGATGTCCTGTTTTTTCCGATGCGCGGTCCCCAGAAGTCCCGACCCCTTCCCCAGGGTCGGTTTCGTCCTGAGTCAATCGGTTTTTGACGGTCCCAGGACTCGGCGAGGGCCTCGGGAGGCCGAAAGCTGCCAAAAACATCCCCCTGTGCTTTTTCCACGACGCGAGCATGTCTTCGGGCGACGATATTTATACAGATCTACTGCTCCCTGGCCAGGCCCAGCCTGAACCCGGGAGCTGTATATACGCCCTGATGCGGCCGAGACAGGAGGGCGTGGCGTATGCACCGCTGCTGGGCTGGCCAGGGAGCAGTGTGAATACATACACACACATGTATATATACATATTCAAACACAGCTATGCATACGTACGTACGCGCATACACATGTATACATATACATATATATGTATATGTGTACCCATGCCAGTATTGGCATCCATACGCATGCATTGCTTTGTATAGATGTAGATATGCATATCTGTATGCATGTATACATTTTCATACACATGTACTGATTTGTATATGTATGTATGTGTAAATAGTACTTCGAAGACACCTACGGCGAGTCACCGCCGCCCCCTGCCCTTGTTCAAGAGCCTATGTGTCCGAAAGTTGTGACTACAGCTTGACCTAGCTGTCGGAAGATGTGTTCCCCGACTTTGCTTGGAAAGCCTTCGGGGAACACCTGACGAGAATGACTGCAGTGAGGACTTCGATCCGGTCTCACTCACCGTTCTTGGGGGGCCTGTTTGGACAGTCTTTGGGGCTGCCTGACACCAGGGAAGAAGGTCATAACATTGAATGATTTTTTGTGGAGGTCTCAAACCCGAATATTTTTTTAGGACTACTGATGTTAAAAAGGGATGCCGTGTCAGATTTAGGTGGAGACATTGTTTTGTTCAGCGTTGCTTCATGAGCGCCTCTGGTCAAACGTTTCGTCACATCAATCGGGCGAGCTATCGGACCAGATGTTCTCCGAGCCGCCGTTGAAATCTGTGGTGGAACACGTGGTCCCAGCTCTCGGACAATGCGTTTCCCGAGTCGGTTTCGAAAGCCTTCGGGGAACACGTGGGCGATAATGAACTTAATGAGGGAGCCGATCTGGTTTCTCTCGCCCTCCTTGGGGTTCTCCCTGGACAATCTTTGTGCTCGCCTACCATAAGGGCGGGTAGTGTTGGGCCCAGTGGAACTGTCCAGGGCCGTGTTGGGGTCGTCAGGGGTTTGCGCCTATATGGTTTTCGGAGTCGTCTTTGGGAACGCATTGGTACTCCACCACAGCCGGCTCGTCTGATGTGAGGATATTATCGGCACTTGTTTCCCGAAGCCTCCTAGACTTGTTCCGGGAACGCTCGTGGGGTAGTTTATAGTTGTAACGCCTCGTCGGCGAGAGCATCTGGTTGACGTGCACTGCTTGTGAATTATGCTTGCATCATGGCCGTCCGTAGGTGCATTGGGGTCAAGTGATCTTCAGTCTCAAGCGCGCGATACCATGACATACGATCCGATTCTGAGACAGTGCAGGGCCATGCCCAGCTCGTCCACCGCTGGGTCGTTCCGTTGACAACTGTCTCGAGGGCGGCGTCGTGGTGCTCGATGCGGCCGCGGCGCAGGATGAAACTGGCAGTGCTGCGGCGCTGTCTGGCGCAGACCGCCCTCGCGCGGGGCTGCGTGCCTTTTTGCCGACGACGTGGGCGTCCCGTCTGCTGGAAGAGGAACGCCCTCGGCGTGTATTCGGCGGCCCGGCATGCCGCGAATTAAAACTAACGGCAATGGAATTTGTGTTCTGCGCTCCGTCTGGGGGCAGCCTCTTCCCGGCTCGGACGGTTCCATGGAGCTGCATTGCGCAGATGTCCGAAAAGTGGCGTTGCAGAGTCTGCCGTCGAGTTTGCTGATTTGGAAGCCGCGGTTCCATGTTTCACCCGTGGGATACCGCAGAATTGGTTTCGCGCTGAGTGTGGCGACGCCGTGCAAATCGACGACGGCGATCGGGGGCGTCGATATTTTCGAGAGCACCTGCCCCGGGCTGTTCGGGATGAGGCTCTGGTCTTTGCAAGGCAGAAAAAGGGCGCGGGGTTGGCGGTGATTGCTCGGAGTTTTTACGGAGACGAGCGAGGAGTAATTCGCGCGACCGCTAGCGCATATGTTAGGTTATATCGGCGCCCGGGGCGACTTGGACATTCTGGGGATGTATTGAAATTTGGCACGACTGCGGCTCCCGGATTCTGCGAAGAGCTTTCGACATGCCAGGTTTGACGAAGTGCGCTTCTCTCTTCCACGAGGCGACGACCTACCAGCTGCGGTTCTTTCACGTGGAAGACCCCGGCATGAGAGAGACCGTCTTGGGTGCCATATGCGCAGCGAGTGCAATTCTGCCGAGGCGACGGCGCTTCTCGGTGCAGCCATGCGAACATTGCGTGCTTTCTATGACGCGCGGTCTGGATCGTCTTTCCAAGAATTACCTTAGTCTTTCGCTTCTGAGGCGGCGTGGCGTGCTTTGCGAGGCGCATTGTGTGTGGACAGGTATTGGATGTTGGTGCCTGAACTTCAGTGTTTGGGCGCGCGTGCGGGCTGTGGGGTGGCTGCTAGGATGCCGCGTGGAGGGCGCGGAGAAGGAAGGCGGGGTCATGGCCTGGAGCGAGATGTTGCCGATGTAATGTGCTGCTCCGAAGAGGATGCCGCGGAGATGACTCGCGTGCTCGAAGACCGTGTGCACGCGTGCATTCGTCTGGGCAGAGGGCGCGGGCTGTTCCCGCGCTTGCTGACCGAGGGCGGAGTGCAGCAGCTCCGCGGGTGAGAGGAGGGGGCCAGACGTTCGGCTGCGGGGGCGAGGAGAGAGACGGCGGCCGGGGCGGCGGAGGACGAGGCGTCGACTCGGTGGCGAGCCGCGGTCGCGACCGAGGAGGCAGCGAAGCGGGCGCGGCTGGAGATCGCGGCGACGCCCGCAGAGGGCGCCGTGCCGGCTTCGAGGCCGGCCCGAGAGACCACCGCAGGGGCGTGCGAACGCCGGGTGTTTGCGGGGGGAAGTGCCGGCGATGGCAGCTGCGGCGGAGCGCCCCGCGACGACGCCCCCGGCAGCGACGGCGACGGTGGGGCCAGTGCTGATGGCGACGAGGGCGGCGAACAGCGCGAGGATGATGAGGTGCGCTACGGCGCGGGGCGCTCGTCGTCCTCGGAGTCCGACGACGGCAGCTCCGGCGAGGGCTCTAGCTCCGAGAGCGAGGGTTCTGGCGACGGTGACGAGTCAGAGTGCGTGACAGACGACCGTCGACGAGGGCGAGTGACAGAAGGAGTTGGGGAAATCTGGCGGCATTGCCGTTCCCGCGGCCTGGGGGGCAGAGGGCGTGGGGGGCCTTTAGACGCGGCAGTCGTCGCTGATTCTCCAGTAACATTAGGCCCGCGAGAAGAGGATGATATCATTGGCGACAACGATGGCGAGGATGTTCTGGGCGGCGGGGTAGCCGATGGCGTCGGCGACTTCAGCGACGTGGGCGACGATTCGGACATGTTCCACGCGGAAGCGATGGGGGTCAGGGGCCGCGCGAAAACGAGGACAAGGAGATGGTCATCGCAGACGGCGTCGTTCCTCCCCTCGGAGTTTGCGCGTTGTTCCCGCCAGACGGCGCTGATCTCCTCAGTGACGAGGTCCTCGGGGGCGCGGCGACAGATCGAGGCGGCTTCAGATGCCGAGCGAGTGTCCAATGCCCGCGTTGCGCTGCGGATTCAATGGCTGCCGCTGGACGTGAGATGCTCCGATTGCACGACGCTGGGAGATGAGGCGGCCCCCGTGCGTGCATTTGGCGGAAGAAAAACGCATGCGCGTTGAGATGGCGCTCGCCCCGGAAGATGCGTGGCCAGTGGGGGGTGAAGATTGTGGGGCACGGGGGATCTGCGCGATTCATTTGACC